ATATATATATATATATATATATATATATATATATATATATATATATAGCATTCTATTATTATCTATCTATCTATCTATCTATCTATCTATCTATCTATCTCATTGTTTTTCTTATCTATCTCACGCACACATTTATCTATCTATCTATCTATCTATCGATCGAGCACATTTTTCCTCATCTTATTCCATTCGTAACATATATATATATATATATATATATATATATATATATATATATATATATATATATATAATCATTCTATTCATTATCTATCTATTCATCTATCTATCTATCAATAATATATATATATATATATATATATATATATATATATATATATATATATATTTATGCATACACATCTGAATAAGGTATATGTAGTCAGCAATTATTCATTTAAATAAGTTTGGTTAGAAAAAAACGATAAGTATTGTCTGTTTATTTTTATTATATATTTGCAATTTCTGAATAGATTTGAAAATTGTAATGAATTTTAGTGAGCCCCGTACTTGAAATAGACGCCTATTTTTATTTTTACATTTGAATAGGGTGGATAACTTCTATCATTCTGTACACACAATAAATGATATAGACACTGTTTAAAATTTATAATGAAAATGGTGCAACCATTCCAGATACAGTTATCTACTATAATAACTTTTGAAATAATAAAATGCCGTACTAAATATACATCCATTAATTCTTTATATATATATATATATATATATATATATATATATATATATATATATTGAGGCACGTGTTATTAAAAGCTTTTCCATTTAATAACCTTTCTTTCAGTTTTTCTTGTTTTCTCGCATGTTTCTTTTATTTGGTTCTAAATTGTTGAAATATGACCCCTGTCCTTGGTTTTTTGCCGAGCGCTTTCGGTTGTGGTCAACCGTCATCATGGCTGTATATTTTAGTAGGTTGTATTTTATTTTTACTTTTTATAGATAGTATTTAGGGGTATTCAGACAGTGTTGTTGCATCAATTCATGAGTAGAGGGGGTTGGTATTTAATATTTGGAGGATTAGTCATTAAATATGTTTAAGATGTTTCTGCAAGTATTAAATCCTATTTTATTTCTGTTAGATTTCTGTTTTTTTTTTAATCGATCATTCTATTCATAGACTACTACTATGGCTATGGCTTTAAGAATTTGTAAGCGTTTTTTGCGATTGTTTTTGTAGAGGATTTTGGTATTTTTGATTAGGATTTTTCTTATTTCGGAGGATTTGAGTCTGTCATTAGTGGATGAATATCAATAATCACATACTGCCAAAATACACACACACACACACACACACACACATATATATATATGTGAAAAATATATAGAAAATAGGAAAGAACTCGTTAGGTAAATAATCGAAAGTTCTTTAGTATTTTTGTTATTATTTTTAAAAAATAGTGCTCGATACAAAAGTAGAGCATAAATATAATTATTTATTTAAAATATTTATTTAAAAATGTTTAAAAATATGATTTGTTGGAATCATATTTTAAATAAATAATTATATATATATATATATATATATATATATATATATATATATATATATATATATATGTAACGGGCGTAACAGCAAAACTCTCTAAATCGTGTAACAGCAAAATTGGCCAATTGTTAGATTAAGCTTCGAACCGATGTATCTTAGAAATGATTAAAAAATCTTACTGGAATTCTCCGAAGTTTTATACAACTATTCGACTGTACTCTGAACAATATGAATGCATTTAGATCTAAATTGAAATATTGCTCCATCTGGTTGTTTTGAATTCCTAATACAATTTTCATTTCTACTGTTCCCTCTTTTTTTTTATCTTATTCAGTGTTCTCTTGATTATTGAAATGGGATATGTCCGACAATCATTTTAATATATTTATTGTTTATACCTTATTTTTATAGATAAAATATTCTAGTAAATGATTTGTTTATAATAAACAGTATTAACAACATTTACAGGCCTGAACGCGAACTAAACGCTTCAGCTGTAGCTGAAAAGCATAGAATGACAGGATATATGATTGTTCCATGTAGGATACAGGCTCGATTCCTGTCGGAGGATACATATATTCTATAAAATTTCTCAGATATTCAGACAGGTAAATATTGTTAATACTGTTTATTATAAATAGCGAATTTACTTAAATATTTGTATTTACAAAATGTATTATCCGGGTTTTTTTACATCGCCCGGGTATGCGTATTAAAATTATATATATATATATATATATACGTTAACGTTTGAATTTATATTCTTTTCGTTCTTATTACATACATACATATATATATCTCTCTCTCTCTCTCTCTCTCTCTATATATATATATATATATATATATATATATATATATATATATAATTATTTATTTAGAAAATTTATAACATAAACATGTTATAAAATCACTACAAAAAAAGCCATTTGTTTCAATATATATATATATATATATATATATATATATATATAGTAAAATGGATATGAGTTTGTTACATATATATATATATATATATATATATATATATATATATATATATATATATATATACACCCTGTTTGGCTGAAACAATATATGTGATATTATGTGTACACTATTAGATCTGCCCTTACTGCCTTTTAATCTTTAATCTTTTAATCTGTCAATTATTTTTTCTATCTCCTACTGTGGGATTAATAGCCATAAGTGTTTGGTTGAAGTCTATCTAGAAGAAAGACGACTCTGAATTTCTAAATGTGATGAAGGCAGCGGGCGACAATGCCATTTACTTTACCAGGAAGTCATGTCAATTTACAGATAATGAAGAAAAATAATCAGTGATGAGCCATATTCGCCCACGATCTGAAAGAAACGCCATTAAATAAAATGGACACTAGTCTACGTAAACATCTAGCGTAATCATAGAGAAAATCTCCGCATTGTGTAAGGAAAAGAAAGAATAAGAAAAAAAAATGTCTAGAAAAGGACCCCCCCCCACTTCAATCTGTTATTGATTGGGGCAAGAAATGGCTGGTTAACTTTAATGCCTCAAAAACAAAACTGTTCTTTTGTGCCCACCACAGAGCTCCCTGTCTGTCTCCCATTAGATTTCTGATGCTCAACTCCACGAGACCACCTCTCTACGACTGTTTGGTCTCACACTGTCCGCTGATCTGAGATGGAATAAATACATTGAAACAAGTTTCATTTACCGCGAGGAAAGTTGGTTCTCTGTGTCGCGCCAGGAAGTTTTTATCGCCCGAGTTCATCCTTCAAATCTATAAGTCAACTATTCGTCCCTGAATGGAATACTGCACCCATATATAGTCTGGAGCCGCCGCTGTTCATCTTAAGGTCCTCGACAAAATCCAAAGGCAGATATGCAATGTGATTGGCCCTGCTCTGGCATCTCGTCTACAGTCGCTCTCTCAGAGACGTGCCGTTGCTTCCCTCTGTCTTTTCTACAAATACTTTCACGGTAACTGCTCCGATGAGCTACTTTCACTGGTTCCCAAACGGCATGAATTTAAGCGTGCTACTAAGGTTGGTATCTCAGTCCCACCCTTTCTCTGTCGAAACGGTTAAATGTAGCCGTCTCTTCTACTCCAATAGCTTCATGTCTCGCACTTCCCGTCTGTGGAACTCCCTTCCTGTTATTTGCTTTCCTGATAGCTATCATCTTCAACTATTCAAATGCAATGCCACTTGACCTCTCCAGATATCTTGATCTAATTCCTCTGTCCTTCACTTTATCTTTTCCTCTATCACGCCTCTTTACTCTTGTTCTCAATCCTCTGTAACCCCTTGCGTGCTAATAGCACTCCCGCCTTGTTTGGGGTGAAAAGCTTAAAAAATGCGGAGAAGGATAGACAAATGCGTATTCTGACATTTGTTCAACCTATAATGCGAAGTGATCCTAAGAGAACAAGATCTATTGTCGGAGTTATTATTGGTGGAAACAGTTTTAATATATATATATAAGCAATGCAGATGACACCGTGTTGATGTTGAAATTAAGGCCTACAAAAGGAAATAAAAGAGAGATTGATGGTTTGCTTTGTTTTTTTTAGGCTTATCACACTTTTGCAGGTTATTTAAAGGCAGGAAATACGTTTAAATTGTGAGAATTTTTTTTAGATGAAATAATTTCATTGATACAGTCAGTAAGTTTTGGGCCATACATGATAGGCGATCATTTATCTTTCGATAAATGACTGACGAGGCAATTTTTCTAGCAGTAGGTTGCCATTTCTTTTTGCAGTAGACCAGTTGCCATCCAAGGCTATGGAACACGGTCTGTCCTGCTATTTACCCATAGCTTAGATGAAGAAAATTCATATCTTTCCCAAGGGTACTAGCACGTAAGTGAATGTAATAGATTCAAGTGGAATTCGAACTCGGCTCTTCGATTCCTTAATCCGAACCGCTATCGCTTATTTAGTAAAAATACAAGTCTTACTAAATAACCGATAGCTGGCACGAAAAAACGTGGATTTCTAACATTGCCAAGGTATTCGCGCATAATTGAATATTACGAACCCGATTGGAATTGAAACCCGCCTCTCTGATTTTCAGTTCATTATCCATTACACTATCCACACATCCAAACGGATAGCACCTAGTATCCCCAAGTGGTCACCCATCCACCTACTGACAAAACTCAATGTTGCTTCACTTCGCTAATCGTACGAAGAACCGGTGTTCCAATATAATACGGCCGTAAATCCGAGAATAAAACGAACCCAACTGGAATTGAATCTCGGATCTTTGATTTCCAATTCCTTATCCATTAAACTATTCGCACATCCTAGCTTTTAGCACCTGGTATTCCCAAAAGTCCACCCATCCAGTAACTGTGAAGGACAATGTTGCTTAACTTCGGTGATCGTACACGAACCGGTGTTTATTTCAACATCATATGGCCGTAATCCGAGAATAAAACGAACCCAACTAGATTTGAAACTCGGCTCCCTGGTTTTCAATTTGTTATCCATTGCACTATCCGCACATCCAAGCTTATAGCACCTGGTATTCCCAAGCGATCATCCATCTAGGTATTGACCAGACTCAACGTTGCTTAACTTCGGTGATCGTATTAGAAGCGTGTTTCAGAATGATATGGCCGTAAATCCGAGAAGAAAGCGCTAACCATCAATTATAAGAAGGCAATATAGTCGTTAAGAAGAAAGATCGTCCAAGATGCGAGCCACGAATGGGTGACGTTAGAATCAAATATATACAGATCATTTATTATCTGGGAACAGAAGACAAATATATGACACGGTAATTGGAAGGCGTATTTGAATAGCGAACTTATAAAGAAACAGGAAAAGATCGTTGGGAACAAAGAAAAGCGTGATGAATTATATAAATAAAATATGTTGCAGTAAATGCCGGATAATTTCCTTATAGATGAAGCGGCCACTTCAGTCAACAGAGATGTCTTTCTACAGTAGGATACGGAGAATAGCATATACAGATGATGTGAGCAATGGGGAAGCTTTACGGAAAAGGGGGACAAAAAGAACACTTGTACTAAATCCAATAAGAATGCAAAATCAAAAAGCGACAATAGAAATTTTTGGGAAACATATTAAGAAAAGAGGGCTTGGAGAATTTGACACTCACAAGACCTACTGAAGGAAACGAAGTTGTCATAACAGAAGATATAAAAAGAGTAAGAGGGATAACAAAAAAAGCAAAAAAAAGCTATGAAAGATCATTGCTAAGAGCTATAAAAAATAGGATGCTGTGAAGAGTCATGATCCACTACGTTATAACGGGAGCATAAAAAATAAAGCTTGATATGATTAGCTGAGTTTTGATATTAAATTTCCGATGTAGAATTCTCGAAAATTCAACCTGTATTTACAAAGGAGATTTATTCGAAAAATAAATATTTTTCGTGTAAAATAATTTTTCGTCATGAGGCATCAACTAATTCTTCTTCTTTCACCCTTAACCCTGAAAGGATTCGTTGGGCCGCCGACGTGCTAAGCTGTCCACCATTGTCCTCCAGCCTGGGACCGAAAGTGCAGTGTGCCAGACATCAAGGGTACTACCTCTATTCAGAAGACCTCTCATGCCCACTGATATATCTATATAAATGAATGCATATATGTATATTCAGATGTTTATTCATATGCTTACATATAAAAGCACAACCATATATAAAAGCAGGCTAAATTTTTAGTCTACATATTAAGTTTAAAATAGATATATTATTATTATTTTATAAGATATTATTATAGCTACGCAATAGCTTTCGTGTTTCGGCACGAAGTTGTAACTCTTTAGGCGATGGCAGACATTACTTTGGTGAACATACGCTGCTTTTGAATGTCCATAAAATATGTTGTCTTGCAGAAATAACTGCAGTAATAGAGTGAAAGAGATACAATAGAAAAGGAAAGTTTAGTTTTCTTAACCAGACTAAAATTATCAATTTTATTTGCATAAAATAGAGAAAAGCTTAGCAATGTTACTATTTAGTTCGCATTTCAGCAGCTTGCGTTATATAAAACGGCATGTGGTTCATACGTCCAGCATTTGCCAAAATCCATATGTCAGCTGGGGAATCTATTCGTGTGTAGGTAAATTGTGTGTGCGTGTGTGTGAGTTGGCTGAGAATCCGACGGAATTGGAAATATATGAAACAGTTTTGAAAACATTTTTACTATGACATGTTTCGACGATGATCTGACATCATCATCAAAAAAAGTTGAACGAGAACAATTTGATAAAGTAGACTTTGATTTTGTGAAATAAAATCACCGGCAAATTATTTTGGCCAATTGTTTTATATGTAGACCTAATATCGTTTGAATGTTTACTTGTTCTATTGATTTACATTTGACTTGTCGTTTGAACCTAAATTGCTTGGACGAACTACTGCTGAACACACACACGCACACATACACACACACACACACACACACACCCATATATATATATATATATATATATATATATATATATATATATACACATACAGAGTTGGATAAAAGTAGGATTACAGATGTTTCACTATAGAGCTAATTTCGTCGAACTGTTCTTTCAGCAAGATAGATCACCTTCCCATGATGCTTTGCTAATAAGAGACTACCTTAACCAAACCTTTCTACAGCATTGATTCAGAAAAAGGGTGTAACATCGAATGTCCACCACGTTAACCTTACTTAACACCAATGGATTTCTTTTTGGGTGGGGATGGAGTAAAGAACAAGATTTATGAGAGAAATCCCCACACAGTAGACTAATTACAAAAGTACATATCTCAAGTATTTATTGAAATTGATGCAGAATGAGATTGGTGTCGGGCTCTGTCTCATAATGGTCTGGAGAGGTTCGAAGAATGTTGCAATGTTGATATTTTGAGTCCTTAAGAGATTAAACTGTGCTAAAAGAATATAAGTAAAGTGTTAAACAAATGTACATAAACAGTTTTGAACAAATAAGATTGTAACAAAATAAATATAAATGTAATAAAATGTATTTAAAAAATGTAAAATGCATACCTACTAAGTGTAAGCCTACTTTTGGCCGAGCAATAATATATATATATATATATATATATATATATATATATATATATATATATATATATATATATATTATTGCTCGGTCAATATATATATATACATATCTACAGGGTGCGATAGAAAAACCTATCATATATATACCACTCAGACAAACCTCCCACATAAAGGTAAGACATTAGGTAGATGAAGACACTAGTGCCATTAATGCTTTAACATGATGTGGGATATTCTATTGAACCACACATACACACACGCACATATATATATATATATATATATATATATAATATTAGTGGTAAATATACACATACATATGCAAAATATATAAATATACATACATACATACATACATACATACACATACATATATATTTGTATAAAAAAATATTCCAAGAGGATAGAATCTAGGTAGAACTCAATGTCCAGGACAGAGTAAGAATATAATAAAAAGGCAAAAACACTAATATTCCATGGTCATAATTTATTCCATTGGAATTCTAAATACGATCTAATTCATCAGGCCTACAAATTAGGTCTGATGAATTGATCATTTACAATTCCAATGGAACAAATTATAAGCATGGAATATTAGTGTTTTTTTTTTATATATATATATATATATATATATATATATATATATATATATATATATATATATATATTACAGTGAGTCATGTTATTTTTCGTTTCGAGGACCCAAATCTAATGGCGGAGGAATTATCCTAACTACTAATCATAAATGGTTGTTAAGAATAAATTTGCTGTTCACTAGCATACCTGAGTTTTCGTACGGCAGTGGCCGCGTGTGTCGACTCTGGATTAAAGGGAATATATATATATATATATATATATATATATATATATATATATATAGGTGTTTTTGATCATATCTCCAATGAAGACAAATTTATGTAAAAAAAAAGAGTAATACTGAAACGCTTTAATAACCCTTTATTTACCTGTATAGAAAACATTACTTTCGTGAACATACGCTGCTTTTGAATGTCCATAAAATATGTTGTCTTGCAGAAATAACTGCAGTAATAGAGTGAAAGAGATACAATAGAAATGGAAAGTTTAGTTTTCTTAACCAGACTAAAATTATCAATTTTATCTGAATAAAATAGAGAAAAGCTTAGCAATGGTAGCATTTAGTTCGCATTTCAGCAGATTGTGTTGGATAAAACAACTTGATATGTAATGTCATATATATAATATAATTACTATGACTACATAATAAGTTTCAATGAAGACATAGGCACACACACACACACACACACACAGACACACACACACACACACACACACACACACACACACACACACACATATATATATATATATATATATATATATATATATATATATATATATATATTTAATGGTTGTGTGTGTATTTCTATAAATTAAATGAAAGGCTTAATCGGAGTGCTTTGTCAGTCGTCTTGAAGGAAACATGATATATATATAAAACTGCGTATTTCGCCAGTAACCCTTCTTTTATATAAGTTCATCGAAGATCAATGACAATGTTTCTTCAAAGAAGTTTTCTATATTTTTTCTTGCATTCGTGCAAGTGATTTCTTTTCTTGAAAACTGTCCAAATGATCTATGGATCCGATCGCTCCAGTCTAATCTGTTAGCTTTATGGATGCTTTTTTTTGTTTAGCTGAAGTTGCAGATTTTCTTTAATATGTATATATACTGATGGGAATATTTTTGCTCTCCGAACACGGTCAGCACTCTGTGGTGGTGTTCAGAATTTATATTATCGAAAGTTCGGTTCTTTCTTTTTTTTTTTTTTTTTTTACTGCTAACGCTTTCATCATTTTTAGCCGTTGTTCTCGCACATCTATATTCAAAGAAAGGTTAAAAAATAAGCTTGTGAAACACAACCTGCAGTATCGTATAAAAAATTAGGTAGACAAGTATAAATAGGGAACAACTGGTGAACATAAGGGCGACGCTTGGCAAACCCTTTGATAAACGTAACGCGGAGTGTTGGGCTACGACTGCTATTACGCAGAGAGATATACGAAACATAACAGAACCATCAAGACAAAAAGGAAAATATATTCGGTTCAGAATGAAGTTCTTGTCAAAAATCTGTGGGAAGTTCGTTCTGTTGAATTAAAAGTGTCGTATCAGTTCTTAAAATAAGAGTGATCAAAAGTATTGTGAATTGGTCTGGTATCAAGATATGAACAGTGAAAACAACGACAATGTTTCTGCTACTATTATTACTGCTGCTACCAATAATAATAATAATGAGAATAAGAAGAACAAGAACAAAAACAACAATTGCAGCAGCAATTTTGGCGAAAGGAAACTATTTCCTCAGAGAAAGTTTGGATCAATATCTACCAGGATCTGCAACAAAAGCGCATGCGCCCTGGCTCTTGTATTCTTTTTCTTCCTCTTTCGTTGAAGCGCGTGGCTCTGTTGCTGGCAAATGACGCGAACAAGAGAATTACAATTATCGCCGAAATAGGTGAAAAGCAAGATTACAGACGCGGTTGTTGCGATAAAATCAGGTACAATATCACAAAGCACGCATGTGCTCACAATTAAACCGCCATACACGAA